CAGTAATGAGTGGGTGGGGGCATATGGAAGGTAGTCCGTTTGCAGGTACAGGTTATTGATGAGTGTCTACGCATGTATTAGGAATTACGCATGCAGAAGTGAGAAGCAGTAATGAGTGGGTGGGCATATGGAAGGTAGTCCGTTTGCAGGTACAGGTTATTGATGAGTGTCTACGCGTGTATTCGGAATTACGTATGCAGGGGTAAGTGGCAGTAATGTGTGGGTGGGTACGTGAAAGGTGGTCCGTTTGTAGGTACAGGTTATTGTTGAGTGTCTACGCATGTATTAGGAAATACGTATGCAGGGTCGAGTGGCAGTAATGAGTGGGTAGGCATATGAAAGGAAGTACGTGTGTAGGTACAGGTTATTGTTGAGTGTCTACGCATGTATTAGGAATTACGTATGCAGAAGTGAGAAGCAGTAATGAGTGGGTGGGCATATGGAAGGTAGTACGAGTGTAGGTACAGATTATTGATGAGTGCTTAGGGACATATTAATAATTACATATGTAGGTACAAGTTGGCAAGTGTTTGAAATTTAAATATATGGGTGCATATCTCGAAAATCTTGAGGAACCTCCAAGAGACGCCTGGCCAAAGTGCGCATCACAACAACACTCGCTTATAACACCCAACTATAACACTCGCTTATAACACCCAACTATAACACTCGCTTATAACACCCAACTATAACACTCACGTATAACACCCACTTCTAACATTCACTTGTAACACTCGCTTATATCACTCGCTTATAACACTCACTTATAGCGCACTTACAACACTCACTTACAATGCTCACTTACAACACTCTGATGACACTCTTCTATAACACTCACATACAACACACTTATAACACAATCTTATAAAACGTGCAAATGGGCCCGAATGATACAGGCAATAGAAAGGCGATTGACAGATGGAAGGGTACAAGCCATTGGCGATAAATTAAGCAGATGTATACATATACATATTTTTACAGACAAGTATATACGTATCATCCAGCTATGTATTCAAATGCATATCCTTACAGAAATGTGTAAAGGTTTTATCCAGTAACGTCGGCATATACAAAGTCAAACATATATATACATACATGCTGTCCAGCAACGTGTGTATATTTATAACCGTACAGATATGTATATACGTATCCATACAGATATGTATATACGTATCCATACAGATATGTATACACGTATCCATACAGATATGTATATACGTATCCATACAGATATGTATAACCCTATCCATACAGATATGTATATACGTATCCATACAGATATGTATATACGTATCCATACAGATATGTATATACGTATCACCCAGCAAAGTAGGCATTACAAATTGATACAGATATATGGTTAGCACATACCACATAGTGTATATCCAGCGGCAGATTGACGTACTCCAGGAAAACTCTAAACCCTAAAATTGATACAGATGTATGCCTAGCACATACCACATAGTGTACGTCTAGCAGAAAACTCTAAACCCTAAACCCTGAAACTCATACAGATACATGCCTAGCACATACCACATAGTGTATATCCAGCAGCAGATTGGCGTACTCCAGGAACATTCCGGACAGATACTTCTCGAGTGTGCGCAGCAACAGGCCCTTGTCCAAGGTATCCAGGTGCATGGACGACACCAGCAACAGGAAGGCGATGGGCAGATGAAACAGCACACACCACCTGCGTTGGATGGGAGCCATGACAATCGACAGACCCAGCCCAAACATCGCCACGCTGATCAGGAACAACTCACCCGCGGACAGGGCGAAGACGTAGAGTGTGGTGTAAAAAAAGGCCTGTGGTTTAGGGTTTAGGGTTGTAGGGAGCTTGTATTGGAGTATGAGTATAAAAATATTTCCCCTTCCCGTTGTTTTCGCAAAAGGAAAGTGGCAAGAAGTGTTATTGAACTTCTGTATTACGAATAGATGGATATAGGAGGTACAAAAAAAAGTCAATCAACAAGTGGTGTTAAAATGATTCGGTGCTCATGGATGCCTCTAGACCGGCTACGTGTGTCAAGGCTGTCCCTTTTACCAGTTGGGGCCAAAATGGACCAGCTACGACAGTCTATTTACAAAACATTTGGATCTGATTAAGACGGAAAACAATGGGGAACGAATGTGTGCACTGATATATCAACACACCACGCCACACAAAGCGAGCCAACCAGGCGAACAATCAAAACCCTAAACCCTAGGCTATCGAACAAACGCTAAAAATTAGGCTGTCAAACAACCCTACCTGCAGGACTATCGCTACTTCACCAGCCGGCGTACGAATCCAGGCACCCGTGCTAGTTAAAACATCCAATTTGGTTAGATAAGGGGTCTCGATTTGGATCAAACTGAGCACAATATAGGGCATATTGAGCCCAAAAGTGAGTACAGAGGACAGCAGATAGGCCCATCTGAAGTCCCGATCGTCGGCGGTACAGCCGTACATGAAGGTGAAGGCCGAGTACACGGCCAAGGCTGCTGGCCACAGAGGTTTGACCGGAATCAGAGATGGATACTGCAAAATTTAATTAATGAGTATCA